GGTGTTGATCCTAAAGGTTGGGTAGTAATAAGTATATGATATCTCTCTCGAACTAGGTTTTGTGGGTTGGAACCTAAGTTTAAGATTTGTGATATAAAAAGGACTTTATAGTTCCATTGGAGGGTTTGGCCTAAACTTGCTTTCTCAATTGAGATTGAAGGTTGATTTTTGATCCCGTGTTATCAGAGGTTGAGATTGAAGGTTGATCGTTGATTTCGCACCATCAGATAGTGGTGACTTGGTGTGAGGTGTAAAAAGCATGGTTGAGATAATCTCCGACACTCTATTTTTGTTTCTTAACATATTTAATTATATAGCATTTATATTCTCAAGCGTAAGAATTAAGAATTGTGATTATTTTATTTGATTAAAGAAAATTGGCTTAGTGGCATCAATGTTTTTAATATTTTAGATTTGTTAGTTTTATTTTCTTTGAAACAAAAAGTATTATAATAAGACTATTTATAAGTGATGTTTGACCAAAAAAAAAAAAGGAAAAAAAAAGTATAAAAAAGAAAAACAATAAAAAAATATATCCCGTGATAGATCACATTTAGTTTTTCTTTCAAAAAAAAAAAAAAACTACTGGCAAATCCACGCACTAAACATATTGACGATTTGAATTACTGCAAATCCATAAGCTAGACCTCCACAGCCACGGACGCAAGAAAATGATTAGAGCCTGTCCATTTTGTATTTACAATTTTTGGGTCATGGATTTAAAAATTCTTGAAAATCCCTCAAATTTACTTTATTTTTCCCGTTCCAAATTCAACTACCACCAAGGAGAAAAGTGAGGCTCCAGATACATCATTGAGGAGAAAATTTGATTTGCCGGCGATCATCATCAAGAGGTGTCTTGAGTCCTCTATCCAATGGATATATGCTAAATTATTTCCCATTGCCCAAACCTAGGATCTCGTCCTTACTCGTCTAGACGCATGATTATAAAAAGTATCAATCTTGTACTATTGAAGTAACGCGCACATCAAAAGCCCATTGGAATGGTGATGAACCCTCAAATTGATGATGTGAATCTTGAGATGCATGGATATTAAGAAAAAAAAGATTTTGAGCCATAAAAATAATGCATCATGTAATTTGTTATCTTGACAGCCTATTTTTAAAAAGAGTAATGTTATAATTCTTTATATATATCCACTTGATTGGTGCCATTTTTAGAGCGTTGAATTTTATAATTAAAAATGTTAATAGATTTTTTTCTATGTCAAAGACTTTCCAGTACCAAATTTATATATCTCAAAAGACTTTTGAGGCGTGTCTTTCTTTGATTATTTAAAATTAACACCTTGTTAAAGATCACGACTTCCATTTTACAAATATTTCCAAAAAACATTACTCTTTCGAAAATGGGTATCAGCATATAATCTCCATTGATCTACCGAAAAAAATTAAAGCTATGGAAATCTGGATACCAAAAATGCGTGGGGTGATCACTTACTCCTCCATCTCAAATAAGTCAAGTGGACGTTGATGTTATGTTTAAGCATCTTACTTCATGGTATCAATCAACAGCCTAGGGAGTTGGAAAAAAAAGAAATTCAGAAAAACAAAAGCACAGGGGAAAACAGTTTTGAAACCCAAAACAATGAAAAATAAAAATCAAAAGATCCAATACTCAAAAGGAAAGCGAGATATAATGTGAAGAGAGTAAGTGGGAGTAGAATGTATGTGATCCTGACCTCCTTGACTGAAGCCGCTGGTCTTGTCCAATCCCACTAAAAAGGAGAGGGACGGCCTTCCTTTTTAACTAAATACAAATAAAAAGAAAAGCATAAGAGGCCCAAATCCAGAGAGAGGGAGGGACGGCTTTACATGCAAAGGTGTGGCGTGATTCCGGGATTGAGGGCAGCTTCACGTGCACCCCTCCGTAATTGTCGCTCATGTGTCTCGACCAAAAAAATAGAGCTTTTGACTTTTATAGCTATAAATAGTAAATTATTTTTAACGGGATTCCTATTTCAAATAACCTTTTACCTTTGTAAAAAACAAAGAGTAAGCGTGACCATGGGTTTAGGTACAAGGAGCAAAGGCTTTTCTTGGGTTGATTATTGCTTTTTAAGTCCTTCCACTTAATACACTCCTGCTCTAGTTTTTTATTGGGCTCGCATTGGGCTGGGCAGTCCCAGCTCAAAGAAATAGGGCTTGGATGGACCATGAACCGTAGTCTGAGGGCCAGGCGGCCCAATCAACCCGGTCCTAAAAAACATAGGGCTTGGGCCACAAATTGTGGCCTCAGGGTCAGTACAAGCATAACGCAGCCCGGCCCTACTCTACCCTATTTTTTTCTTGCTCTTTCTTTTAATTTTTTTTCATTTGATTTTGGCCCGGCTAATAGGGCCAGATCCAGGCCACGTCCGGGCCAAGCCGGGTCCTCCATGAGCCCGGCCCACCCTTATTTTTCATGAAAATAAACCTTTATCAGAATGCAAATTATATGCTCACTATTCCAAATTCACTTTTATGAAATATATCAAAATCTCCACGGTTTTAAGGTAGAAAAACTTATTTAGAATAAGAATTTGGGTTTCTCCTCCGCTTTTTTTTTTCTAGCTGCTTTTTATCTTCTCTTAATTTATGAGTAAGTTCATCTCACTCAATTATAAAAAGAAGAAAACGAGAATTAAAACTAACGCTTGTCATAAACTTCATTTCATTTTCTTGGTTTACCCTGTCGGTGGGAGGATGGATGAAAATCGAATCCCATACCCTTAATTCTTTCTTTATAAAAGCTGCAAGCTCGGCCACCCACTTTTTGTTCATGTTTTTTAATTGTGTGGCCCAATTGGATTTTGCAGCCATATTCTTTTCCACTTTTACGGTTGGGAAATATGTCGGCCAAATTGTTAAAAACGTCTAAGTCATATCTTAAGCCAACACAATGGACTTTAGGAATTTGGTCCATTGTTTTAAGGGGAATTTATCAAAGCATACCCTAAAAGATTTGCTATTTAACATTGCATCTCCTTTATTCTTTTTTTTTTTTTTTTTTGCCCCTACTTTTAAAGAGCCCATCAAGGTAGACATTAGGTATACATTTAAGGGGGACGTAGTGTGGAAGAAGTAATTTCCTATTTCACCCCTCCATCTTAACTAAATTGGTTTTTGGTTCTTACAAACCCAAAATACCAATAATTAAGATATAGAAAAGTTTACAAATAATCCATTTATTATGGGTACATCATATTTCAAATCAGGTAGATATAAGGGTATCATTGATAAGATTCAGAGTTCAAAAAAAAATTCTAAAACTTCGTGATGCAACACAAACCATCCAATTTGATTTCTAATGGCTTTGATTGATCGTGATCTACTTGTATCAAAGATAAATGGTTATGATATATACTCCCTTAAGATATTGATATTCAAAATGCCAAACAGATGATTAATGAGATATTGGTGTTCTAAAACACCAACATTTCATTGGATGATTTTTATTTGGTGAGATATTAAAAATACCAAGATCTTATGAGGTAAATAAAGTGACTTATGGCTGTTTCAACCGACCAGTAATATCATGTAAAAACTTAATATTAATGAGATATTAGTATTTGAAAATACTAATATCTCACAAACTGATTTAATAAGATATTGGTGATAAAAACATATAAGCTCCCAAGGCGACTTAATATTAATGAGATATTAGTATTCGAAAAGATCAAGTGACTTAATGAGACATTGGTGATAAAAACACATAAACCACATTATAATCTATTAAAAGATCGAGGGTGAAAATAACAATATCCCTATATGGTGTTTAAAGTGAGACATAAATATCACTATCTCAAAGGGGTGTTGTCTCTAAACTACCCATTTTTTATGGAAAAGTATACCTAGAGACCTTTTGGTAGGAGTATACAATCAATCTCTTCCGTCACATTATAAATTGTATAGTTGTAAGTGTATCATTGACTACATTTAAAGTTGAAATTTTTTTTTTGAACTTACTGTAAGCCGTCCAATTTAACATCTAATAGCTAAGAATGATTATGACCTCTTTACAACTACTATAAAAAGTAAAGTCTCATGGCATACCATATCAAATTTCATATGGTGTATAGAGTTTGGACTGAGAAATCACCATAGGTGTGTATATGAACTACTTTGGTCTTGGAGGGGCAAATTTGAAAACTTTCCTCCAATAATATGGAGCCATTATGATATTGAATTTTAATGAAAGGACAGAGATAAAGAAAATATTAAATACTATATCCTTTTGTATATTTTGGGCACCCTTTGATAAAAGGAAAGGATGCAGTTTCACATATGCCGTTCTGCCTCATCAAGCATCCTGGATGTGGAAAAATGGTACTCCCACCAAAATCTACAATGGACGCTTCTAAAAATAAATAAATAAAGATATTAATTTTTATTTTTTATATTCATGTTTACTATGGTGGAAATTCTCAAGCCCTCCTTGGATTGGGCACCTCGTAAATAGATGTGTAGACTAGTCCAAATCTTTAAACAATTTCAAAAAAATATTCAAAGATATCATTTACTTTTAATACAAAAGAGTCACAATCACTTTTATCCGTCAGATTTTAAATCAGGTGGATGTGAGTGTGTCATTGAATAAACTCGAAGTTCAAAAAAGAATTTTTTAAACTTTATGACACTCTCCAAGCTATCAAATTTACATCTAATGGGTTGTAGCAATTGTGACCTCCTTATAATAAAGATAAATATATCATAGTATACAATCTCATAAATCCCACCTTTTTTTAATAACCGGAAGTCTTTACCTTTTATAATAATTACTTCATGACATTTATGTCGATAACTCTGCAAATAGCGAGAAAACCTTAAAAACGTACCTGACAGGTTGGATCTTATAATTTCAAGTGGTGTTCGTTGGAATTAGAAAATAATTGGTATTTGGGATAAAATATTGTAAAAAACCAATTATGATAGACAAAAATTATAACAAAGGAAAGATTACTAACTGCCCCTATGGTAAAACCACGAACTCATTTAAATCCAGCAATCTCATTCACATTCAAGAACCCTCTCTCCCTCTCTCTCTTTCACACAGAAATGAAGCTTCTGTTTCTGTTCTGCATTGCTCTACTCTCTGTGGGAAGGAATGGGTTTCATGTTAGAGCTCAAGAGAGCTTTGTGAGAACCAGAGGAACACATTTCATATTAAATGGATCTCCTTTCTATGCTAATGGCTTTAATGCTTACTGGTTAATGTACATGGCCTCAGACCCATCCCAGAGAAGTAAAGTTACCTCTGCATTTCAACAAGCTTCAGCCCATGGCCTCACAATTGCAAGATCTTGGGCTTTCAGTGATGGTGGGTATGGAGCATTGCAGTACTCACCTGGTGTTTACAATGAACAGATGTTTCAGGCATAATTCTCTCTCTCTTTCTCTCTCTCTCTGTGTCTCTGTCTCTCTGTAAACTGTATATGTGTTTCACTATTTTGTTCTGGTTTTTATTGTTTATCTTTTAAGATTGATGTGGGAAATGGGTGGGTTTATGTGATTATAGGGATTGGACTTTGTGATTTATGAGGCCAGAAGGCATGGAATTAGGCTGATATTCAGCTTGGCTAACAACTATGATAGCTTTGGAGGGAAGAAACAATATGTACAGTGGGCCAGGAATCAGGGGCAGAACTTGGAGTCAGATGATACCTTCTTTGTGAATCCTGTAGTTAACAGATACTATAAAAACCATGTTAAGGTCTGTATTGATTTCTTTAATGCTAAATACTAGTTTTTGCAGTAGCGTAACAGCATCCACAGGTTCTGTTTATTTTGTTGGACTCTTGTCTTGTGTTATATCCGTATTTTCTATAAATGGCTAGCCTTCGTATGGTTTGTGTATGTGTGTGTTGGGGGGGGGGTAAGGATTATTTTGTTGTTCCTCTATTCTGAGGTTTTCCAGTCTCACTGAGTGGCACATTATGTTTCTTGTTTTCACCATTGATGCGCTTGAATCTTGATTATTTACTTAAAATGTTTACATTCCAGACAATTCTTACAAGGAGGAACAGCATGACAGGAATTGCTTACAAGGATGACCCAACCATTTTAGCATGGGAGCTCATGAATGAAGCTAGGTGTCTAAGTGATATCTCTGGCAAGACCATACAGGTCAGGAAAACTCTCCATATCCATTCATCCCTAATCCTTCGTTTCCATCTTTTCCTATATTTACTCTTTTTTTCTTTTTAAATAAGTCCAAGATTTTGGTCACTAGTTGAGATTGGATGCACACCGGATTCTATTGGGGTTGTATTGATCATTAGGAAGGTAGGAGGCTCCATACTGCAATTTCCCAAAGGTTGGAACCTTTATTTTTTAATTGTTGGCCATATGTAGGAGTGCTCAGCCTCCTCAGTTTAGTTTGAGGCATTTGTATCTGTTAAGAATAAGATACCAAAAATTCATTGGTTGAAGACTGTCTTTCAGGAAAATCAGTTTTTCAAGAGTAAATATACAAAAGAAAACTGAGTAAATATACAAAAGATGCTATATCTGCATGTGAAAGCAGTAGGTTAAATCAGTTTCTGTTTTTCTCTTATAACATGATTTAATCCGCAGGCATGGATCACAGAAATGGCGGCGTATGTTAAATCCATAGACTCCAATCACTTACTAGAGGCTGGTCTGGAAGGATTTTATGGAGAATCGTCTCCTCAGAAGCAGCAATTTAACCCAGGGTTCCAAGTGGGAACAGATTTCATTGCAAACAATCAGATATGGGGCATTGATTTTGCTACTGTTCATTCATACCCTGATCAATGGTAAAAACAAAAAAAAAACTCTCTAATTTTCTCCAGATTCCAAAAGGAAAGCCTAATCACTCAAGTAGACCTTTCTTTTCCTTGTTAAGAAAATTGGCATTAATTTCTTGAACTTGATGCAATTGCTTTTAGGCTTGAATAGTATATTATCAGTATGCCACAATCAACATCAGCCGTCAATTGTCGACAATGGGTGGCTGATGCAAGCTGCTCATCTGCTCAAGCAGAGATTGATAAAATTATGAAGATGAAAGATGCACCTCAGCCATCCTTTGTTGGCAACAGACGGTGAAGCTATTTCTAGCATACTGAACAATATGGCAGAAGTACTCATTGCTCTTATCGTTCACTCTTAATCTTGTCTATTTGCCTCAGGGTGTTTTGTTTTCATCGATTTCCTAATTCGTACACTTGTAGGATTGACCAATCCTTAAACCAGCTATTTGATTCTTCAATTCAAACCCAAGCTTGCTCAAAATGAATCTACGTTGTTCAGATTTTCATCGATTCCCTAATTCGTACACTTGTAGGATTGATCAAACCTTAAACCAGCCATTTGATTCTTCAATTCAAACCCAAGCTTGCTCAAAATTAATCTAGGTTGTTCAGATGGCTTTTACATGTTTCCAATTCTGCGATCAGGTGTTCATGAATAATCATTCCAACTTCACTCCTTTAATAATGATTCTCCACAAACAAAATTCATTTCTCATTACTTTCCTGACTAGGTTTTCTATGTGAACAGGCTATCAGGGTCAAATTATGAAACCCAACTTTCTTTTTTGGGAAGCTGGCTTAACACCCACATCCAAGACGCAGAAACCATCCTGAGAAAGCCATTGCTTCTTGCCGAATTCGGAAATTCTTGGAAAGATCCAGGTTTCAACGAGTATCAACGAGACATGTTATTCAACACAGTTTACAATAGCATATATGCATCAGCCAGAAGAGGAGGAGCAACAGTTGGGGGTTTATTTTGGCAGCTCTTAGCAGAAGGAATGGACTCGTATCGTGATGGTTATGAAATTGTTCTCACTCAGAACCCCTCAACTGTAAATATAATTACCCAGCAATCCCATAAGCTCACATACCTTAGTAGGTTGTTTGCGAGGTGGAGGAACATTGAGAAATTGAAAAGGGCCAGATCCATTAGAAGAGCTCAATGGCTGGCTAGAACTAGGGGAAAGAATAGTGGAAACTGAAACCGAAAGATAAAGATGTTGGGCACTGACATAATTAGCAGATGGTGGGGTTTGGGCATCTACGGGTTGGTTTCTAAGGTGTTGTGGTGTGATTTGGAAAAGGTTTTAATGTGTCTGGGTTTCTCTTTGCGATGAATATTGTTCATCCAGGAGAAAAGGTTAGAAGGTGAACTTTACACTATAATTAAGATATTTAAAGGAGATTTGAGTTTATTTTGCTTGTCTTTAAAACGTCATTTCTTGGTTGAATGCTTTAATCTGACTATACTGATTAATGTGCCTATAAATAATGTAATAAGAGCAAATGACTATTTATTTCTTTTTTTGATATTTTTCTTTCGGAGAAGCCAAATAGAAGAAAAAAAGAAGAAGCATACACCCATACCTAGTTACCACGTTGTGGTTTCCAATCCTGTTGACACCACCTACTGACACCTTAAAAAAGGCTAACTGAAAAAATGGATAGGGGCCTATCTTCCCACTAAATTATCCAAAAAAAATAAAACCACAATGTTATCTTTCCATCTCACTTCATGGATAAAAGATGTTTGCACCAAAAAGATCGTCCTTAGCAGGCATGGCCATTATTTCTATAAAGGGGTGCTCATGCACGCAAGTTTAATGTATATCGCCACTGCAGTGGCATTAAGCTATAGGCATTTTATATAAGGGTGAGGCCCTAAACAATCAAATTAAGGCATACCTCAGTAGTTTGCTAGAAGAGGTTGTTTCGATGCCCACAAATTCTCAAATCGATTATCTCGACCTCAGGATTTATGGATATGAGAAAAAATGGATTTCAAGTCTTGGAAGTAGTGCATCTTGCAATGAATTTTCTAGACTGTTGATTTTCAAGTGTTTATATCTGCTCGATCAACACTATTTTTGAAGCTGATATCTTTCGGCACTATTTGAAGGTGCGTCTTATATTTGATTGTTTAGGCCCTTAGCCTCATACAAACCATACCCTTTCCAAATTCATGTGAAATGGTTTGGGGTTCATCAGTCTATTAGTTCAAATTTTACCGATACTTGGCAAGCTTTCATATCAGCCCTTTGCCCAAGTCGATATCAGGCTCATGGTTTAGCTGCAAATATCACATCCAACTAATGCATAATCAGCCAAATTCTAGTGCGTTCCATTGCAAAATTAACAAGACTTCAGACTAAAGTCCACTAAGTTACGGATTTATGTTTCAGTTTCACACAGGTTTGAAATTCCATTTTGGAATAAGGTGTCGGCAAAACTCTTGACCAATTTTGGCTTCCTATCGAAACAGTTAAACCCGAATTCAGTCCAAGTCTTGAGGTAACAATTATTAGTTTATTGGCCAGAACTTCGGAGCAGAAACCCAAGAGAAATGTGAATAAGTGCAAATAGAGAACGCAATGCATGTGTACAAATTATTTATGTAGTTAGGTAGGAGTGTCCACCTCAAGCCAGCCAGTTTAATGAATAAAAAACCTAATGCAGATCCAACATTCCAAAGAGTATCTAACCCTGAATTTTCAGAAGTTACAGCAGTCCTATCATGCAATGCGATGATGAATGAAGACATAAACCTTACACAACCAAGACATTATAAATGTGCCAATGATGGACAGAATAAACAAGCACCCATTATACCAATGAATTTCAGCAGATCCAAAGAGATTAAGGAGCGTACAAAAGAATATGAGATAAAAATTTTGCAAGTCATATTCCAAGAGTCCTACCTGATAGCATGGCATATAATGTGAAAACCAAACAAACATGACGAAGACGTCGATCAGATTCTACATCTCTATTTCTAAACTGAACACTGTACAATACTGAAGGAAATCGATGTGCCTTATTTGGTAATTATCTAATGTACTCTACAAAATTACTTCATACCATGCTCTTGCACCATTTGCCATCAACACTCCTAGTTAACTTTACATAGAGGGAAACGCACCTCATGCACGGCTTATTCCTGGACAGGCATAGACCTCTAAACTAACATGAACTAGAGCTAAACTAAATTCTATGAGCCCATATGATAAAATTTTACAGCAAACTCGTATCCACCATGATCACATTGTCGTGCAGTGTCATAAGCCTCTTGCTCATATCGCTCATCAAAGGACACCGATTTGGAAATCCATATCAGCCACACAATCTTATATGACCATGCCATCTTTAATTGTTGAGTTCTTCAATATCACAGTAATCCCAGAGCGAATATAGAAGCCTTCTGATGGCCTGTCTGCTTCTTGAACACCCTACACACCCATTACTTGTAATTAGCCCAGCTTTTCACAAAACACAATGGATACATTATCTTTCTCCATGTTCAATGCTACAAGTGCAAAAAATTGTGCTTAAAAGTTAGAATTGCTCTTAGTAATATGCTCCCCTTTATCTCTTTAATTACAGGTTTTAGTACAACACTAAAATAGATAAAAGATCCAAGCAACAATAAGAATTTAACTTACATCTGTATTTGCAATGACTACATTCTTTCCAATCTTTGCATTCTTGTCAATGATACAGTTCCTGAAATAAAGGCATGGTTAAAAAGATGAAAGGCGGCTGAATCTTCCACCAATTTATGTTATCTTTGAAAACATATATGATAAATCTCTCACCTGATCTTGGTGTTTTGCCCCACACCAACTGGAACCTTTCCCTCAGCCAGAAGAGCTGCAATTTCTGCTTCTGTTTGGTAGTAATCAGCACCCATCATCATTGTATCCTGAAATGAACCACCCAATTTTGTCATGTATGTTAAGAAATGCAAGGCAACACTAAAAACCTCTCTCTCTCTCTCTCTCTCTCTCTCTCTCTCTTTCTCTCTCTCTCTCTTACTGATATATATATATATATATAGGGTATAGTTGATATACGGATGCATCCGTAGCTGTAGTGGTAAGGTGCACCTTCAAATTTTATCATGGTATATAATTTTGATGTAAAATGTTCTTAGGATTATCTCAAAATCTATTTTTATATCTAATAATAAAATTTTAAATTTAAAACATGGTTAAAATCAAGTACATCTATAAACATATGAAAATCTTGAAAATAGCTGGTGTAGATAATATTTTGTAAAATGTGCTATTTTTGAGACTTAAAATCTTTTTAGTTTTCATGGTCATACATCTCGATGACGAGATGATCGATCAAAGGGTTTTTCAACATTTAAACTACCTTTTCCGATCGAATTTTGAGGTGCATCCGTAGTTCTACATTATAAGGTTGCATCCTTATATAAATTTTTTCCATATATATGCAAGCTTGTATAAACTTTTTCCATATATGTATATATATATATATACACATATGGAAAAATCTTCCCAATGCCTATAGGCAAAAATAAATAGTGATTTTGTCTATCTTCATCACCATCAGAACTTCATCGCACGATCACAGTTGTCCGGTAGTGTTTCAATTTTATTTTTTTTTTTACAAATCCAAATTGCTTGAAATTTGGAGTGTGTGTACATCTTAGTGAGGCGCACCTAGTAAAAATATGAAAAAAATAATTCGTAAAATATAAATTAACCAAAATACCCCCACAAATTTACGGGGGTATTTTGGTCAATTTATACTTTGCTAATTATTTTTTTTATATTTTTATTAGGTGAGCCTCACTAGGATGTACACACACTCCAAATTTTAGATCATTCAGATTAGTAAAAAAACAAATGAAAATTAAAACACTACCGGATAACTGTGACTGTGCGATGAAGTTTAGATAGTGATGAAAGTAGGCGAGATCACTGTTCATTTTCGCCTATAGGCGTTTTTGTTGTATCTTCCTATATATATATATATATATATAACGGATCTAGATCTCCACCCCCCTCCCCAACCCTGTCTTTTATCACGCACACAGAAGTTTCATGATCACTATTCACTAAATAAATACTCACCTGAAGCTCCACACCAGTTTCTAAACGTGAACGTACACCCACAATTGAATGTTGTACACTACACTCTCGTAAGAAGCATCCATGGGAAATTATTGCATCTAGAATCTGCAGATGGTACATTGACTTCAGTAATGAAGATAATGTATCACAATGCAATATGTCTCATATTTCTTGAGTAAATTAAGGACAGCTTCTCTACTCAAAATTGTACCCTGCATTTTTCTATCTTGGTTGGAGGTAGAAATCGAGGTGATGTAAAGAATGGAGTCATTGGATCATAAAACTGAAACTTTGGGGGCTGCAAAGGAAAGAAAAAAAAACTTGATTAGTATTAGAAACTATTCCCATATTTAAAAGCAAGGACCTCTTCACCATGCAACAAATCAAAGAGTTCTTAAAGCATCAATTCATATCCCTCTTTCTAGAATGTAAAAAATGACAAACCTCTTCTGTAAGGGCCAAATTGGCATCAAAAAACGACTTGATTGTTCCAATATCCTCCCAGTAATCATTGAAAAGATATGCCTGCCAATGAGTGGATGTCAAAGTTCATAAGCATATCTTCCACACAAAAACAAGGACACACAAACACACATGTTATGAAGATTAATTGAAGTTCTATCTTTATATGCCCAAACTCAAAAAATTGCTCTATGATCATATGGAATGGCTATAATGTGGTGCCTCCTAAGGCTATAAAGTGGTGCTTCCTAATTCAATAAGAGTTCAAAGAAAAGATGTCATCCCACCTGCACATTGTATTCATTCACAGATGAAGGAATGATTTCTGATCCAAAATCATTTGATGTAGGATACCGCCACCTGAGAAAGGATTGAGAGAACAAGTAAGACAGACAAATTTTTTTGTAGTTGTTTCCATAAAACGTGACCAGAAATCACAAAGCCTACCACCATAGAAATGATGCTAACCTCAAAAGCTTCAGTAGCACATCTGTCCTAAAGACATAAACTCCCATTGATGCAATGTAGGGGTACCTCTTAGCATCTTGGGCAGACAATCCTAAACGAGTGGTATCCACTTGCTGCACCAAGAACGCCAATTCACTAAAAGAATAGCACATGGGCATAATGAATCTCTCTCTCCCTCTCTCCTCT